TTTATAATTACTGTAAGATATGGTACACATAAGTGTCAGTAAAATTACTTTTAGGGTAGTATGTAAAACAAGAATTATTACTTTAGGATGCTTGAATGCAATATTTCTTAAAATAAAATTTATTTGTTGATCAAACCTACACACTGCAGAGACAAAATATTTATAGGAATTCGAACTAGGTTTATCAAAACCAAAGTGGATATAAATTAAATATTATAAAACTATTTAAATACAATTGAGATTTTTATAAACCCTTTTATCAGAATATAATTATCCTTACTATATAACTAAAATCATGAATGCCTTTCTTAAGAGTTTACTAATGTTTCTTACGAATGTTCAGCCTCGTGGGAGGCACAAACATAAATATTTTCATGCTTGAATTGTAAGCAAAATGCCGACGCTGTCTAATAAGTTCCAAAAGTACGCCAAAATTGGAAAAAAAATCACGAATAGAATAAATGCATTTTATCTTGTTGTAAGCTTTCTCATTTATTTGAGTTTTGACACGTTCTTTTACTATTTTTTTCAACTACACTTTTAAGTCAGTATAAACATTCGATTCCTATTCGGTTGTATGCTGAAATAGCGCTCAATATTTAGAGTTTTTCAACACTAAATTTAACTAGGTATTACACCACAGTCTTAACAGAGCGATTTTCAAAATTTTTGATATGAAGAGAAACTAAATTTTTTTAGTTAAAGTATGTTTCTCAGAAGGTAAGAAATTATATTTAGTTCGAAATGCATTTAATTTGTGTATTTACAATGGTGTTTTTCAAGAGGAACTAAAAATTTCCTTAGCATATGTTTGGAAAGAACATGGTTTTGGTACTTTGTCTTATCCATTAGTAACAGAAAGAATGAGAATTGGCCTCGATTTCTTTGTACGTCAGACTTCTCAATTACATTAAAAATAAACTGATTGGAAGTCTCCCCCACCCATACCACCTTGGATTTCAGGTTAAATGTTTTTGCATTTCATTTTCTTTAGATATTTTTTGTATTGATGGCGCTGCATTATTTGACGGCAAAAGGCATTCGGCTCCGGCTTGCACCGACCACAGCACAGTGCTGACGTAATGTTCTCAGTAGTAGACGGATTATGGGTTAAAGTCCCCTTGCCCTCAGGCTTACCGAGGGAGGTTCTCGTGGTCTTCCCCTCCATGTAACGCAAATACGGGTTAGCTCCATCAAAAAGTCCTCCACGAAGGCAAATGTCTCCCAATACTCGATCCAGGAGTTCCCTTGTCTTTTGGATTGGGTTCAAAATTACAAGGCTACGGAGCTGAACATTAGTAGTCGAACATTAGTAGTTGAACATTAGTAGTAGTAGCACCCCTACTGAAGATGCGACATCAATATCTCTTCTGATTGTTACTGTTTATTTTTTTTTTTGTAATGTTTGTTAGTATTTAGTTTATTTCTAAGTAGCACTGCTTTCTGGATTTCACATTTAATATTCTACCTATTTGTTAAAACTCTAATTTGAAAATTTTGAATATGTTTGCTTATGTAATTTAACTGTTGCGCTCACTTCGAACTTTCGGAGTGTCCTTGGATGCCCCCTTACGGTGGTGGGACGGGGTTAAGCTTGTTATTAGTCGTCGTTAACCCATAAAAATGGGTCGGCTGTTCAACGACGGTTGTAAAATAAAAAATGAAAAACTTTAAAGCTATAAGAATCTGTGATTTGGGGTCTTGAATCAATAATTTAATATTAAACATTTATCAGTTTTTAGATTTTCTTGAAAATTTGACATAACAGTTTAAACGAAAAAAAAACAAAACAGATTTGGATGATTCTTATATCGAAAATTGCGCAAAACAAAGATGTTTATCAAAAATTCAAAACAGGCAAATGCTTAGTTTTTAACTACCTTTCAAAAAGTAATGAATGTAGAATTATATTGGTATAATTCTGTCAGAAAAAATTAAAAGAGAATTTGAATTACTGCACTCTTTATATCTCAAGTTCTGATTGGGTGACGGCAAACGTTTCAAATGTTTTAAACTGGATATTTTGGAGACAAATATTTATGCAAACGTTAAAGTCACGGCTAAAATAGGTTGAGGGTCTTTGTCTAAATATTTCCTCTAAAAATTAATTCTGGATAAATTCTTTTATAGATTCCATTGTTAAAGAATAAAAGCTTTATAACAAGGAAAATATAAGCAATAAATCAATTATGCTATTCTATTTAATAAAAAGCGATGAGAGACCAGGTCGTAGAACATTATTCTCGAATACCTCTTCCCAAAGACGAAACAAGAAAAATAGTAATAAAAAAGGAAGAACCTCGGAACTGGAGGAAAATTGAATTAAATTGATACACTGTGAAGCAATACATAAAGGCAGACGATAAGATAGGGAAAAACGAATACTTTTTCTTTATCGTCTGCGTCTGTTTGGAGAAAGTTCTGGGAACGATAGAGTTTAGGATCCTGAACCCTTCTGCATTTTGTCGAAACATTTTTACCCGGAAAAGTTAGGAGAAAAAAAAAGGGGGGAGTGTTGTTTTTTCGAACGTTGAAAAATTTTGAGTAAATATGTTTTTGAGTAAATGTGAGAAAAATGTTTATGCAAACGTTAAAGTCACGGCTAAAATAGGTTGAGGGTCTTTGTCTAAATATTTCCTCTAAAAATTAATTCTGGATAAATTCTTTTATAGATTCCATTGTTAAAGAATAAAAGCTTTATAACAAGGAAAATATAAGCAATAAATCAATTATGCTATTCTATTTAATAAAAAGCGATGAGAGACCAGGTCGTAGAACATTATTCTCGAATACCTCTTCCCAAAGACGAAACAAGAAAAATAGTAATAAAAAAGGAAGAACCTCGGAACTGGAGGAAAATTGAATTAAATTGATACACTGTGAAGCAATACATAAAGGCAGACGATAAGATAGGGAAAAACGAATACTTTTTTTTATCGTCTGCGTCTGTTTGGAGAAAGTTTTGGGAACGATAGAGTTTAGGATCCTGAACCCTTCTGCATTTTGTCGAAATATTTTTACCCGGAAAAGTTAGGAGAAAAAAAAGGAGGGAGTGTTGTTTTTTCGAACGTTGAAAAATTTTGAGTAAATATGATGGATAGGATTTTAAGGAAATGTGTCAGAGAATTGTTTCGTGCTTTGCTTCTTGAGGGGGTTTGGAAAAATAGGGGTGAAAGGATTGTGAGTTAATGGATTTTGTTGCTCAATCGTCCTTTAGTGGTCCCCTTCTGTTTTTGTTGACATTATTGATGATAGTTCATTTTTCAATTTTTAATGTTCTCCTTGAATTTAATGGTAGTATGCTTTAGAAAAATCTTATCTGAAGTTGTTTTAAATACTTGAGGGATTGAAAAAAGAATTTTTAAGGACGAGCCATTAAATTCGCTAGATTAAATTTTCAAAAAATGCATTTTAGCATCGAATAAATTAAAATAATAACAGCTTCATTGTTTCATTTTAACGTATTTGTGGAGTATTTATTGCTACCATCTGTTTCTAAAAGTTGGAGTAAATTAGGAATATTTTGCTTTCGGAAAATAAGCAGTTAAACTCCAAATTTAAACCTTATTCTTTTGCTATTAATCAAAATTTTCGAGAAACTTCGTGAATATTATAAAATTTTATTTAGATAAACATGGTGTGAAAGTTTTTACAAGCTCTGATTCTAAAAGAATCTGCACTATTTTTACACGATGAAAGAAATTCTAGTATCACTTCCGTTTTTAAAACTATAGTTCTTACTACTCCATATTTAGTAAGAAATACAAAACTAAAACATAAATTTAACCAAATACGTGGTTTTTATGCATTGCTCTAAGGTAGCATGATAAAATTATTATATTTTACCACGCAAACCAAGTTTCATCAAATATTATAAAATGATATTTTATTGTTAATTTTGCTAAAATCATTGCCAAAGTGCTTCGTTAAAAATTACCGAGCTCTCTGGTCTTACCATAGAAACAGAAATACACAAAGTTTACCATATTCTGGTAGTTTTGACCGCAATTTTTTCAGTGCATGGAATATGCATTTCCGCTACCAACACTAAGAATTTATCCACGGATAAATTTTTAGACTTTTAATTCGAATTTTAAACTTGAAAATTCGCAATTTGTTGCTTACGTTCTAATAAACGTATTTTTTTTAAATGTATTAGAATAAACTGGTCGAAGAAACCATAATTTTTTTTCCTTTATTTATAAAACTAAAGGGTTACGTCTTCTGTTCATTACCGGTCACCAACACCGATAATTGATTTGCAATAATTGTTATTTTATGGGACAAAACAGTTTTTTCTGCGAAATTTGAAATTATTTATTTAATATATATATGTATGATAAAAAAAATTATGTACTTGATTAAAACTTCATTGGCTTCAAAAAATATGAAGACGTTGCCATTTTAATATTTTTTGAAGCCAATGAAATTTTTATCAAGTATATATATTTCCGCTTCAGTTTCATGGGAATATTTATTTACAAAGAATAGTTTATTTATAAAGAATTCTATTCCCTTATGATTGTATCCCTATTCCCCTCTTTCAGATACCTCACTTGTGATACTATTAAGATTCTTAAAATAACACTTAAATCTAAAGATATATTTTTATAATAAATTTAAAGAGTTCAAAATCAGAAATTTAATATTTTCTTTCAAGTAACAGGCTGAGATATTAAATACAATTTTTTGCAGGCATAACATTGTTCATGAAGCTGATCGAATACGTACTTAATAATTTAACAAATTTCATTAACGAGAATTTATGCTAGTATAGTATTAAAATTTGTACCAAACAATAATATTGTAAATCGGTTAATAATTTTAGACACCAATTTAAATAAGTTTATCTCAATCTATAGTGTAATAAGGTAATACCATAGAATTATGCTACAAAAAGAAGCAACTCTATTAGCTTTCAACTCTTGATTTAGAAAACAATCGAAATAAGAAATATAATAATAGCATAGTAGAATAAAAAAAATATTACAGATAAATACCTTTGTTGATGTTGTTTTTGTCGTATCCATGGATGAGGGTTGTTCTCTAGGTGCCAATGAAGGATTTACTGCAGCCACCAAGTCTGGCGCCTCGGAGCTATAAAGGATCTTCTGAAGTAGCAGCATACCGAGCTTTAAGACATATAAATACCATTCAGTGGATAAAAACCTTTAAATTAGGGATACAAAAATATTTTATAGAAAAACCAATATCTTTTTGACTTCTAATAATTTTATGCTGATGACAACCAAAATACTATGGAATAAGTGGAAAAACTAGATCCTATTAAGTAGTATTCGGCCAACAAAAACGCACTGACAGCAATGGAAAACTGTTTTTTTATGATATATAGAGAAACATAAGTAATACAAAGTCCAAATTTTGATAATAGTATCAAAATTATTTTTTTTATTGGAGGGGCTGTGATAAGCGACTTTAAAAAGATTATGAAACAAAAAATTCCATTATGAATGCTAACCTACAATTCAGTTTATATTGGTTTTGGGTGATGAAGACTTAGAAACAAAAACAATGAAAATATTTATCAAAGCCAAATAAAGTATTTATTATTTTAATTAAAACTGATCTGTAAAAAAGGAATTCTCAAATTTCACCTTAATTCCGATTTTTATCCAAAACGTTACGTTAGATATGCTCTAAATAAACTCTCGCTAAGTTGAGAAAACTGTTTGTTTGAGGATACGAATTATGTCAGAATTATTAGATTTAATGTAGCACATAAATGACTTAATTTATTAGGAAATATAACGGCAAATAAAAGTAGTCTCAATGCTCACTTAGCGCCAAGAATCGAACCCGAAAAACTTATTTAGAAAGCAGGAATACTAACTCTAACACTATCAGTTCCTTCAGTGTAAACAATTTTGAGTTCAAATATAACTTCTAAATGAAACACAAATGAGGATAAAATTGTATTTTATACCTCAAAGTTTGCGTTTTGTAACAAATCACGTATTTTCTTGAGACGCAGATGAAAGATAGTTAAACCGTCAACACTAATTGTTTTTTCCCCCTTAACAACAAAAGAGGGAACTGTGGTATTATCTGATGCAACTAACTGGAATATATAGTTTGTCTAAGCTAAGAACTCCTCCCGCCACAAAGTCTGAGGCCGTCTGGTGCTATGGAATCGAGGATGGCGCATTTTAGGGAGGGTAGCTCTAGGGAGGGTAGTGTACACAAGAGACTGAAGAAAAAGATTCATTTTCTGTCGCCGATCCGAGCCGAAACCACTCCAAAACAGTGACTCCTACTTGAAATAGTCATACCTCGTTACCATAGTCACAGCCACAGGTCCGTGCCGTGGGAGCAAAGTAAAATTCACCGAAATCAAGGTGTAGTTACGAAAAGGGGAAAAGTATGGAGAGGAGGAAATCGCGTAGCCGTCTATTCTTTTTATAAAGTGTATATTTATAGTTTATAAGTACATGGAGGTCGTGTGATCACTGGGAGACTTAAAAGTTTTGAATGGTGGATAGTAGAAGATCGGAAGACAAGATCAACTTGAGGGTGATAAAATTTAATAGATTTATGTTGACTTAAGATAAAGGTAGCTTTATCTTTCAATTCTAGAGGTCTAGAGGTATTTCAATTGGATATCAGATGACTCAATCAATATAAGTTGTATCAATAAGAATTTTCTGGTGTTGCCGCTCTACCTGAGTGTAAGATTAAACACTTTTTGGAAGTTAATTAGAAATTAGGGAAATATGTCATCTAACGTACTTTTCAGTTAGAGAAAGGAAAGTTAATGCCTTATAGATACAATAGATCTGAAAAAAAGCATCATTAAAAGAAAATATATGTGGAACCTCAGAATATTTCTTATCCATCGGCTTTTAAAGTACATATGGAAGAGAGAGAGAGAGGTAGAGAGAGAGAGAGAGAGAGGGAGAGAGAGAGAGGGAGAGAGAGAGAGGGGGGGGAGAGAGATCAGTGATATCTTATAAAGGGCTTTTTGTTTACCGATTTACTGATATTTTAAATAATCAGATAATTTCTTCTAAGAATAACGCCTGCAGAAAATTATTCGTGACTGGCATTGAATTCTACATATCAAACTGAAAACCTCATTCAATATCATTAAGAAAATGCTTGTTGAATTCAATATATATTAAGTTATTATCAACTTATCGTATTAAATCGAGAGCTATATCTAATTAATCGCTTCCTAGTTTCATTTGAAGCTATCTAGAATAATCTTACACAATTTACACTCTGCGAGCTCAAAATTAATCTTAAATAATGACAAAATATCACTAAAAAGATAGGGAGCAAAACATGCATTTTATTCTTATCTGTTGGATAAAGTAGGAATCAAACAAAATGGTGATATCTGTAAAAATAAAAATGTAAATCATGGGTGTTGCGTAATAATCTGATGCACCGAATGACTGTGTTCTTCTAACAATATAGTAAGTTGAAAAAGCTATTCAATTGTAGTCCTACATCAAAATAAAAGCATCGCATAATATCATTAAAAGAATTCAAGCAGTTACTTAAGCGTGCATATTTCATTCTTATCAAGTTGTCTTAAAACAAAGTAAATATCTACGAAAACTAAATTATTTACTGTTTTCACTAAAACTATTTGGATCTTTCCGATTAATGAGGTAGTCTGCATTAAGCGAGCTGAAAATCAATACTCTATAATGAGAATACGTCGTAAAGCTACATCATTAAGAATATCTATGAAATGCAACATACAATTTGCTTTTATCTATTGAACTTTAAACTGGTAAGAAAACAAAGTGATGCCATCTTTAAAACTAGACATTTAAATCATGGGTGTTAACTAGTTCAACATTCTGACATTTGAAATGAACATGCTCCTGCTTATGAATTAAATGAATTGTTAAAATATGAATTTCACTAGAATCATTGCTTTGAATGTACTGAAGTTGACTGTTCATTAAATGTCAACTCAAATTGAACATTGAGCTAATTTGACTGGATTGATTTCATATAATTTCTCCCCTGAATGAAATAAAATGAGCTGTCCCATCTTTAAGAATAGTAATTTAAATCCTGGGAATTAACTAATTCATCTGACGTTTAAAATAAATATTTTCTTCTTGGGAATGAAATGAATTGGCAAAATATGAATTTCACTGGAATTATTGGTTTGAATGAACTGACACTGACTATTCAATTAGATTCAACAGACCATTGAATTGACTCGATGAATTGATTTCATTCAATTTTTTAACTGGAATGAAATAAAATGAATTGTCATATCTTTAAGAGAGTTATTTAAATGATGGGCGTTAACTAACTCAATTAACGTTTAAAATAAACGTGTCTTCTGACGAATTATTAACTTCAAGAACAGAAATTAAAAACATGGTTGTCAGCTAATTCATTTGACAATTGAAATAAAAATGATCTTCTTTGCAATGAAAGGAATTTTATTTTTGTTTTATAACCATCGTTTAACAGCCGACCCGGTTTTTCGGGTTTACGACTACTAATGTTCTACTCCATAGCCTTGTAATTTTGAACCCAATCCAGAAGTTAAGGGAGTTCCTGGATCAAGTACTGGGAGAAATTTGCCTGCGTGGAGGAATTTTTGATGGAACTAAACTAAATTTGTGTTGCATGGAGAGGAAAACCCCGATAGCCTCCCACGGTTAGCCTGGCGGCAAGAGGACTCTAACCCATGATCCGTCTACCACTGAGGATATTTCACGTCAGCACCGTGGTCAGTGCAAGCCGGATGCGGATCCGTATCGACCAGACATCGCTGGGATTCGATTCAGATTCACCTCATTGGAAGGCGATGACTGTTCGGTCAGTGTCAACTCAAACTGAAGATTCGCTGTCGACTCAGCGTCAACTTAAACTGAATACACAGTGTTAACTCAAACTGAAGACACAGTGTCAACTCAAACAGAACATTGAACTGACTCGACAGAATTGATTTCATTCAATTTTTCACTTGAATGAAATAAAATGAGTTATCATATCATTAAAAACAGTAATTTAAATCCTGGTAATTAACTAATTTATCTGTCATTTGAAGTGGATATGTCCTTCTAACAAATCTTTAGAATCTACAAAAATCCTTAAAAAAATTGAAACATGGATGTTAACTAATTCATCTGACGTTTGAACTGAATATTTTCTTTTTAGAAATAAAATAAACTGTCGGAATTCTCTTGAATCATTGTTTTGACTGAATGACATTGACAGTTCAGTCAATGTCAACTCAAACTGAACATTAAATTTACTTGACTGAATAACTTTCATTCAATTTTGGAATTGAATGAATTGTCATATCATTAAAACCAGTAATTTAAATCCTGGAAGTTGACTAATTCATCTGACTTTTGAAATGAATATGTCCTCCTAACGAATTATTATCTCTAAAAACAAAAAAGTAAATCATGGGTACTAACTAAATCAGTCAAATGAATGTTACTTTAACAGAACAACATGCTGAGAAATCCATTGTTTTCAAATGGAAATAAATCCGATATCAAATTGCAAGCATCGTTTATCACTAAAAGAAATCAAATGTTGCTTTGTCATATACATATATATCATTCTTATCAAGTAATCGTATGGAATTAAGTAAATCCTAACAGCAAATAAATAACTATTTTCATTATAGCTATTACCATTTAATGATACACTCTGCATAACGGGAGTTAAAAATCTATCCTCAACAATGACAGTGCGTCTTAAATCAAAACATTGTTGAAAGAAAATATATGGGACTCAACAGACATTTTGTTCTTATCCACTGGTCCTTAAGTTGTCCGGGAGCAGCGGGAGTATCTTTAGGTAGAAATCTTTCCCGATTATATTCGGGATTGCCGTGGATCTCATTATACGGCGGCATCAGCAGCATTTCTCGTTATATCCTCATTCATTTTCAGGAAGAAGGATCTTTCATTAAAGGCGAGTATAGGCTGCAAACCATAAATCAGGACTCTCTCTGTGTGTGTGTGTGAGGTTGGTGGAGGAGGTCAGCAAAACGGGAGGGTGCCTGAGGATGGTCGATGTGTAAAGGGAACTGGGTCATTGCCGTGATTGAATGCTTCGTAGGGAGTTGCAGGGCTGGCGGACTGGCAAAATTTCGGCCGAATAATCAGATAACTATGGAAGT